ATGTGTGCTGTTAAGTATGTATATGTTATGTATATATTTGATTGTGTATATATTACATATATATGTATATGTATGTATGTATATATGTTTGTATATTTATATGATAGTGCGCCACCTACCCTTTGTCTTTTTCCCAATGTCCTCTACCCAAAGGTTGTCTGGAAGAGATTGCTTAGCGATAAGGCCGCCTTTTGTATCACTTCTCATTAATATTTACTGTATTTGTTATTTCTCTTTTTACTTGGTGCAATAAAGTGTAAATAAATAAATAAAGATATTAAAACTCATAAGAAAAAAAAAAATACGACAATCTGTTATAAAATTACATTCTTAACAATTTGTTAGGGCCTTCTCTCTATTGCTCAGTGAAGTGAACCAAAGCCGATATTTTAAGCTACCGTAGATGCATATCTAAGTAATTGCGGAACTTTTACAAGTGCGCCTGCGGCGTGTTTGTCAGTGCATTTGTATTTTGTATGATTAATGCAGTGAACAAATTGAGGCTTCAAATCTACGTTAGGTGTACCAGAAATCAGTTCGCATCAGATCTGCCCATCTCCCTTTTAATCACTAGTTTAATGGCATAACACGGTTCGAAAGATTTATTATGCTAGTTGTGAAATCGAACCGCAATTCGATGTCATTAGTTGAAGGGCTATGTAGATTTATTACTTGTTTTTTTGTGTTTACAACTGTTTCAACACATATTGATGTATCAAATGTCTATTTGTTGAGTTATTAGAAAATTGTATAGAGGGAAATTATTAAAATTCCAAACAAAATTATTATAGTAACTTATAATAACTTTGTTTAGAATAGGATTACACGAGTATTATTGGATTTAGTTTAGTGAAACGAAGTATAAATCTTATATAAATTATGCTATAAACGTATTTACAAAGTCTAGATCAGTCTCTTTATTCCTTTAACCAATAGGGAAAGATTTTTTGTTTTTATCATTGATTTTTTTTCTAAAAGCATGATATGTGACCACATAGTTCTAAACAAATATAGGAAAAATTATGGTCCTAAATCTGATTAACTGAAAAGAGAATATTTTGCTCTTAATGGCTGTGTGTAACACTTAGTGCTTTTGCATGCTATAGTTAAAGGATCTGAAGTTACAAGACTAATGCGACACACCACGGTAACAGGCATTCCACAATGTTATTGGATTTATTCAAAAAATTATAAAAAAAAGATTTATTGGAACGGTTTATTCGACATCTTCTTCGATTTTGTGATATTATTTCTCCGCAATATATACACATAGGTAGGTGTATTAGAAGGTTTGTCTAACTGATTGCTCAACGCACATCGTAAACTACGATGGCGAGTTAGCGTGGGTTAAGCTGTGATAAACAGCTCGTGGGTCTATAAAACACATTAAAAGTTTAAACGTGTTTTATCAACACAATATATTCACTGATCTAAAATAAATTATTTACAAGACCACATAATAGGCGTACCTATTTATAATCCGAATAAGTACGAAATTATAGAATTGTTACATCACAGATTATTAGTAAAAGAGAATTGAGACACTTTAATGCTATTAGCAGTTAATGATAACATCTCGATCAAGATAACCACCGTAAATCTTTACTAGTGAAATATTAAAAACGCTCCAGAACATAAATAAAATACAAAATATCACGATGAACGGTAAATCGTGGCTCCGTTATCTGGTGCAGGCAAGTATAACGCTTGCGTTTAGTGACACTTTAATAGAATTAATGCAACTGCATTGCTGCACTCTTATTGATAGCAGGTTTCACTGCTACTGTAAATGATCATATCTTTAAAGCTGAACCTTCGTTGCTACGTTCTAATTGGATCACGACGAACTGTTTAACTTGGGAATGCATCTATGTAAAGGTGTAGCCTTTACCGAATGATTACGATAAATAGTGAATACCAAGTGTTTATACTAATAAGTAAATAGAGTTTGTACGTAATTTAATATTAGGTTAGTTTATTCTTTCTTTTATTTGTTATAGTATTTTCTATAAACAGCATGGACATCCCACATCTCCATCATCTCACCCAATTCTGCAGAGAAACAACAATTTGTCATTTAAAAACAACGAACATTTCATATAAATTTTCAATTCCATGCTTTCCAAAAATGCCGAATAGGGGCAAAGTAATAATAAGACAGACAATCCGAGTGCAGTCAGTGAATGTATGAGTAGTTCATATGCTATTTATAGTTCCGGATTTTTTTTGTTTATGTGAATTATATAAATAAGAGACAGTTATGTAATTCTATAGTATTATATTACTAAAACACTAGTAAATATAGAGCGAGCAGATTAGAGTCTTGTATAAGAATTGAAATTATATGTATATTAAATTAAATCTGTGTCAATTTACAATTTACTTAACGCGTTACTTACTAATATTCATATATATGTATAATTTTGTAGATTTACTTAGGATTAGATTTACTTATTTACTTACTTTTATTTACTTTTAGATTAGGGCGATTATACAATATTTACTTCCTGCATTAAATAATATTAATTATTTATGTTTTTGATATTTGTATAATTTTAAAACTTTATGGTACAAATAGACTGAATTTACAATACACTTCAAAAGAACGCAATAAACTTTTTAGAAATTAAAACCGTCAAAGTTAAGCTTATTTAGATTTAAGAAAGCACAAAAAAAATCTTTGCATGATAAACTTCGACCTAAAGTAATACTTTAAAATGTTTTTGATTGTATCGTTTCTAATCACAGCCACGGAATCCTACATAAAGTGTGGCCCGACTTGCTTTAGACTGGTTTTTAAGTTATTATAAATCATATAGGTACTGTGCACTCATTTCTTGATAGCAAAGCAATGTACTAATTGCATGCCATTCATTTGATTACGTACGAGAGATAAGATGGCGTGAAAGCATTAGCATCTTGTTTATTTTTATGTTATTTCTTTTTATATCGCCGCTAGATGTTTTATCACCATATCATATCACCTACAAAGAATTTGAACTGTGAACCTATTAGCGAGAGAGTGTTACTTATTTATTGTATTTAATTTACTTTTTTCTTTTGTAATTAGCACATCTGATTGCTGTAAAAACGTTAGGTCGGCTGCGTTAAACAACTATAATATTACCATCCTTGTTTATTAACGTAAAACGTTATGTTGGCACATTAATTAGAGAGCAGCAAGGAATAATGAGCTATTCAGATTCTCGGTCAATGACCATGTTGTGTAAGCTTTTTGTAAATATTATAAGTTATCAGATAATATTTTGTTTCAGTAAAAATTATCTATAATATGCAACAGGACAAGATATATAACGTATGTTAAACTAAAATATGCAATTTTTTTGGCCAAAATTACGAAAACTGCAATTATTTAATTATCCAACTAAGTTGATAATTATGACAAAATTAAAATTCTTCAAATAAAGAGCTGTATTTTATTTTAAAAATTGTATGAAGCTGGAATAGTCATTATTTATATATAAGAAAAAGTGGGCCAATTATACAAAATGAGTGCAATATCTACAATTTAGTATAGATATTTGTTGATAAGTATTCTGTATTATCTATCATGAAAAGAAAAAATATTAAAATTGAGTTATAACTTGAGAACATAGTAGCCGAATGGCGAAGGTGATGCGGTAGCATATCTAGTTACTGTTGATTCCGCACCGCCGTCCATCTGCAGTTCACGTCCTGGTGCAACGTCCTATCTACGTACTCCATGTTAGCTTGCTAGTAGCATATTATGACAGTAACGAGATATATCAAGATTTATCATTTTGTTGTCATGTGTAGAAATGTGGACGTAATGCATTGTACTTTGTGACATGTTATAGATAACAATCTATAAATGTAGAAATTGATAATTTATATAACTTTATTTGTTTGTTATCACAGCTTCAACGATTTATCCAAACATTATGAAATTGATATTTGATACAGACTATTTTTAATCTCGGTTAGTGACTATATCGTGACTACGTGGACGAAGTCACGGGTAAAAGTTAGTAAGTGAGCCGTCAGCTTATTTGCCTTACCATGTATCATATCAATCTGTTAGTTAATCTGTTAAAAATTAATGTTCTTTCCAATTTAATTCAAGACAATAATGCTAAGAAATACACATCGAACCTAGTATTTAATTAATTAATTGAATACACGAAACATTAAATATAATTGTTATTCAATCTTTGTAGTTACGCTGTCATTATTAAACCTCTGGAATTGTATATTTCCAATGAAGTACTCTTAAGTGCTAATGAAATCACGTAGGAATACGTTAAGTTAGTTAGACTAATGAGAACTTTACTATCTGTCTATTTAGAACTTCGTACTTATTTTTTTACGTACTATGAATAGAGATTAAGTATAATTTGTCATGATGCTTATAATTTTTTTTTTAATTTTTCGAAAAACCTATACTTAAGAAAACAGAAAAGATATTAAATATATTTAAATATAACATTTTGACAAACATACGATATATATGATCAAATTTGATTTTTTTTATGCTATCGTATGAATGAGGGTAGATACATGTATTTGAACGTACTAAATACAAATATTTATATCATTTAATAAATAAAATGAGTTTTCGCATATTAATACGATGCGGAAATTATAAGACAAAATAAATATAGAAGTAAAACGGAATTTCTCATAACTATTTCTCACGCAAAATTGTATGAAAAATTTGGTCCACTTTTCTAGAAGCATTTGTATGGAGACACTATCTATATAATCTAAGATCATGAATTAAAGAAGAAACATATTGGTATCTGAATATGTGAAAGCTTTAACTATAGGAGTTACTTAAATTGATAATATCAAAAATACTTTGGTGTTATCAATTTAACACAACTTCTGCTGTATTATATTGCAGATTAAATTACTTCCATTAAATATATTCAATAAGGTACCTCTAACACTCACCTACCAGTAAAACGATTAAAATTAATAAAAAATATGGGTATTAAAGCAAAAAATATTGTTTACAGTTTCGTGTTGAACCCCTTGACACCAGTGCAGGAGACGCGCTGTTTGCTGCAAAATGACACGCAAGCTAACAACCCCATGGCTACGCCGCAGGTATTACCACAGATTGCTAATTTCTACTTTACTTGAGAAAATCACCGGGTGTATAATAGACCTAAATGAACTGTTGCAGCAAACTGCTAGGAGGCATATATTTTAATAACATTGTTAGAATAAAAGCTTGCTTATAATTGTTAAAGAAATATCAAAAAGTATGATTGGTATAATTGAAAAACGAAAACATACTGTGTCGATTTCAAATAATAAACAGAGACAAGATTATAATCTAGAATAAAATATTATTGTAGATTTAAAGAATCGTATATTTTAAATTGTAGCCAATTCGATTGTTTACTATTAAAATGGTAGAAGTGAATATCTCTGACCACCCAATTCGGGATTAGATGGAGTGTCAACATATTATTGTTTTATTTTATTTTTATGTTATTTATTATTAATTTACAAAGCAGTTTCGTTAATTTTTGTGTTAATATATTTGTTCAAGTTAAAGGAAGAAATAATTAAAATTAACTAATTGTTGTATAGGTATATAATTTAGAATAAAAAATGTATATGTTATAAAATTAAATAATATTTTATAGCACCAAAAGTACAAATGTGTTAACTTCATAGAGCAGTTTAATAGTAAATTAAATCTTAAGTTCGATAGCATGTGCCGGCTTTTCTTGATACTGCCAATTAGCATGGCGACTCAGAGAGATTGCATTTACAATTTAGATTATATCGGCCATTGATCGCATGGAAATCTAATAAGAACAATATTTTGTAACTGTTCAAGAAAGTGGTACATTGTAATCGTTTTAACGAAATGAAGAGTCTATATTACCTTGTAGTATAAGTCATGTAAATCAGTAACGATTACAAATGAAATATCTGCCGGTTTAAATGGTCCGTGTAATTCAGTGTCGATAACAGTTAATAATGAATAATAGTATAATAGACTTTCGATTTCGCGATCTTTAAAGTTGCACATGAGTGAATTATTTGTAAATGCAACGTTTATTAGAATAGATTTTTTTTTAAATATTTCTTTTATATAACTTGAAACGGAAAAGAAACAACCCATCTGTAGGAAAATAGTAACTGTACAAAGGATATTACAATGCGTTAAAATGTTATGTATCTATAATTCCGTATCTTATAATTTAATTGTCATATATCATTGTATAAACAGAAATATTATGTTTAGTGGAAGAAAAACGAGTGAGATATAGGTGCAGGTACTATTTTGTATAAAGTCTATCTGGACATTAAATACTTGTTAAGATTGTGATACCATTTTCATTTTGTGACAGCGTGCCGTGAATACTTATTATATGGTGAAACTTCAAGTGAGGACGGAAAGTGTATGCCTTCGACCATGGGCATTTGAACGAGTACCCGGTAAAGCTCTACGGGGTCTTGACAATACTATCATATACACATCTACGAAGGAGGCCTGCCTTGCAGCGTGTCTTAATGAGGTACTGTATCATATTACATAGGTAGATTATTGTTATTATATTATATTGAATTAGAAGGACGTACCACGAGTATACAGCGTTCAGTTTACATCTTGTTATGTAAGATTCAACTAAGATTGGTATATTAAGATTATTTTGTTAGGGAGGTTTAGCCTCTTAAAAAGACATTATTTACTCCCAATCCTATCTTTGAATATAGTAAAAAGTTCCGTTTGCATTGGGATAGGCACCAGACAATTCTGAGATGGGCAATGTTGACCCAGCTTTAAATACTATAGGCGTATTGAGCAAAATTAACTTTAATCTAATTTGTAGTTTGGTTTGTCATCCTTTCAATTTACATTATTTCCATATTTTTTCACATGGCACATGCCCGAAAAAATGTGACATCTTTTTTCGTTTTTAAATTGGTACGTTTATTAGAATTAACTTACTCTTGCTCTACTGTAGTAATAACTTGGTCTGCTTACTTTATGCAAGATGAACCTCGCAAAAGTGTGCACTGCGCCGAATCTGCATTTCGACCGCATTTATTCCACTTTCATTTTCTTTTTACATATCCAACTCTCGCTACGATACAATACAATAGGTTGGAGACAACTATGCAGTTGTAAAGCCGGCTACGCTTTTTGACTTAAATTGCGGCTACTCACTTCATAACGGCATTCATTCTATGACCAGCATTCACTCTTCTTTCTCTTATTTTTCATCGTAACTGAATTCTCATTAAATCGAGCTATACAATTTTATTCACTTGTACCAATATTTACCACAAGTTTGCAGTGTGACAATCACTTTATAAAGTTAGTATTTATTGTCAAATATAGGTATCAGTTGTTTCGTCTTCTATGCAGTTATAAGCATTGCCTAGATCGACAACGCTGTACCGTCGCCTCCGCAATGTAATTTACCGTTTATCTATTCAATTTATATTTTATGGTTTCGCCCTAGTTGGTTGTACTATTCAAGATATAGGTAAAATGATAGGGGCATGTTTATTACGTCCGGATAACTTTGTAGACAAAAGAGCCACATTTGAAATCCGTTAGAAAAGTCTAGATTGTTATCTGTGTATTCTAATTACTGTGTTACATATACTCTATGAGATTATGGTGTACAGAAAACTGGAGGTCAAATATTAACTATGAAATAGTAGTAAGGTAGCATTGGAAAAGTAAATAGAGCATGCAAAACATTCTGGACCTATCATTGGATTAATAAAAAAGTACATTTATTGATAGCTATGTTCTATATATATAGGCTTTTCCCGTGTTGTGCCTTTGCGACTTCATTTTGCCGATTCTTTGGGCTATATCGGTTATGATTTATGTATTTTATGATAATGTATTATCTACTTAAATATTCATTTTATCCATACAGAAGCGGTACGCTTGTCGGTCAGCAGAGTACGAATATGGAAGTATGAGGTGCGCACTTAGTGACTCCGACAGGCGCACAGGTCAACATTTCGTACAACTTGTCGACACTCCTGGTACAGATTATTTTGAGGTAACCATCTTGGAATTGAGTTTAATATATTTATGTATATATTTATAGCTAACATAAGAACTATATGATTGAGTAATGATGACCAACCCCATAGTGACAGTTTTTTTTAAAGAAATTCCAAGAGGTGAAAATTCTAATAAAATAGAAAAAAAACAGGTTTTATTATTTTTTTGCGTGTATATTGCACAATTGGGTGAAAATGCCAATTTTCTTAGTCCTTTTTATTTTAAAAAAATTACTCCTGCTTTCATTTCATATTAAGTTTTTTAAGACTAAAGTATATGATGTAGATGTATGTTTTATAAAAAGATATAGGTAGTATTAGCAAGATCATCTTGACTAATTTTCACAAACAAAAATTATTTTTGTATTTTGTAAGGCGTCTGCTTATTGAAAATGAATATACGTATTGTTACAATCGAAAGTTTTGTTTTTTTTTGCCGAGTAAAACTTTAAATTACGATACTAGCTTTAGGATTCTTGTTACTTTTCGCATAATTCTATAGTGTTTTCTAGTGATTGTTCTCAGTAAATGTTAACAACTTTACTGCAGAACGCTCGAGTCGTATTGTAAAATAAACATGTCAGTTAGTATTATTACTGTTGTTGTGAGTTATTTTAGCTGATTGTGTATGTGTGTGGTCCAGAATCTGTGCCTGAAGGCGTCTCAAGCGTGCAAGGGGCAGCGAGTATTCACCGCACCTCGTGTCGGCGTCGCCGAGGATAAAGTCGCGCAGTATGCGGGATTGCATTATTACACCGACAAGGAATTACAGGTAATTTCTGCTAGTACTACACACATTATTCGCATTTCAATTGCTAATTTTATTGCCATTGCAATAGTATTTTGAAAAATATATCACAATATTATCAAGAAATATGAATCATTATTATTAATAATAACTTTAACTTCACTCACTTCTTTTAAATTACATTACAGACTTTTATATGTGTTTTACTATTAATTGTTTTTAAGTCGGAACGGATATCTAGTAATACATAATTTAATATACTGTCCTCTATTACTATTATATTATTTAGTATCATCTTGTTTATTGTTGAATATTGTAAATCAATGGAAATATCTCATTATTAATCTAAGCCGCGATGCGACGTGGCCATCGTACGTGACTTTTACACGCACTTTGCAACTTTGTATAAAAACACAATTTGTATTCCCTACACAGGTGACATCGGAAAGTGGCTGTCGGCTCGCTTGTGAGATTGAATCAGAGTTCCTATGTCGGTCGTATTTGTACCTCGGAGCTCCTCACTCTACTACGTACAACTGTCGGCTATACCATTTGGACCACCACACTTTGCCTGATGGCCCGTCAGCGTACTTAAACACCGAGCGACCATTGATTGACGACGGGGAACCAATCGGAAAATATTTCGAGAACTTCTGCGAGAGTGAGTATTTTTTTGTTTACTACAATTACAGACAAAAACATCACAACAGTAAATGTTTTTTCTTTCTGTATTGGAAATGATCTTTCTGGGCTTTTTTATATTGGTCTTTAGTTTTTTAGTTGCTGTAGGTATATTAACAGTTATAATAGTATGATAATAGTGTTTTTACTGATCGTTATACGTTATTATGCAAAAAATAGAAGATTAACATTCTACAACTTGAAAAGAAAACATCGTATAGAACTACAACATAACAAAAAACTTATTTGTTTATAACATAAAGATTTACTATACTATACATATAATAGAAATGTAGATCTTAGCGCAATAATCATTCATTATGTAAATGCGGCATTAAATTTCTTAATAAGTGAAAATCTGTTATGTCCATGGTACTGCTCATGTCTATAGACGATGGTTACCACTTCCCATCAGGTGAGCTGTCACCTTATTTGCTATTCTAAGTTGCATAAAACAAAATTGCGTCGCGATATTAGCTCACACTAATCTTCGAAACCGCTTAATGGATTTTAGTGATATAATAAATGTATATTGTTTGTTCCGAGAGCTACAAGAGAGATAGGATAGTTTATATCTTAATAAAAAAAATATCCGCTAAATGGTGGTAGGAGGTAAAACAACTATAGTTGACGAAGAGACTGTGATAAGAGATCAATGGAGAATAAAAGTGTTCATATTGTATTTTTGACATCCGGATAGGGTAATCTAGAAAAATCCTTAATCTAAGAGAGAAAATCAATTATAAGTCAAAGAACTTAAGTGAAAAGATTATCTTTAGTAAGATTACCGTTAAATTGATTTAAAAAACAAACACATTATGTGATAATAAAACGTATGCAATTAATAGTATTTACAGATGATGATGATAAAATTCTTCTATTAAGAACCTTTCTATTAAGAATGCAGTCTTGGTAATGACACTCGTAATAGTGTACTGTACAATTAGCTTATAATAATGGTTTCTAGGACATTGCAGTTGTGGGCTTCGACGAGTCGTGCGTTAACCTCTGAGATTTAACGACGCGGTGAAATGTAAACAATTATTACTTAAGTTTCTTTAGCAGTTTCGCTTCTTGGATTTGTACAAGCATACTCAAATTATACAGTAACAATATACCTACGGAAATAGTTATCTATCTGTCAGTTCTCTAAGGGCATATAAATCTATTAACAATGTGTTTAATTTCCAATTAGTATTAGCTTTGTGCACAAATGCAATTTATATATTGGAATTAATAATTTAGTACAGGAGAAAAAAATATTGCTTGTTAATATAGTTAAAAAATAAGTATTTAAATAGAGTTAATATAGTATCTATTTATATATTGTTTGTAGTTTTTTTAATGATATACTATAGGTATAATAAAATTTCACCAAGTTTACTTCTTTATAATAAAATTTTTGTTGGTGGTTTGCAACAGTATTCAAGACTTTCTGTTAAGAAAAAGAATGCTAAAGAGGTAATCAGAAGTAGCGAAGATATCGTAACATGATAACATAGACATAATTACATAATAAATTAGACAACGTCTCTCTTTTTGAAGTCAGTTAAAAACTTATATAAGTATATGAAATACTTATTAATTACGTATCAGTATCATTATTATCACCAAATCAGTTGTTAACTGTCCACTGCTGAACAAGGCCCACTAAAATTAAAATCCACCATAAGGGGGATTTTGCCAATAGTTGCCATGTTTAGCAGGTGAGTTGGTAACCGCAGTTAGGCTTTGGTGATGTTATATGAAGGACACTCTTGTTCATCCTTCGACTATTAAGTTCCATTAGTCGTCCACAGAAAATTACGTATCAGTACCTGACATATCAGAATACTAAATTACTATTATCTACATTATTATGAAATAAATAAGTACTTTTTTATCGGTGAATGATTAAGTTTATCGAGGTATCAAAATAATTTATATGAGTTCGTAAAGTATTTGACAATATAATTCATTATTATTTATTTTCGAATCTAATTCCGTTTTTTATTATAGTGTCGTATCTTGCACTGGACAATAAAATGTCCGCAAGTATATCTGTTTACGTACCGGCATTCGAAATGGAATGACAGCCGGCATGGTAGCTCGGGTGTGGTAACCATTAACCACGTAACGCATTTGCGACGTATGCGCACTTTTTGTCACGGTAGCAATCAGCGCAACGCGCAGTACTGTTACAGGCGTGTCGTTAATGCCGTAGTTTGATGTTATTATCTAAGAAGTAAAATTGCTGTTTATGGAGCATTTCTTTTTAAGTAACTTCAAAAAGGAGAATGTTCAATTGGCCTGTATTTTTTGTATATTACGTGATATTTTACCTATATAGTTTTTTATATATGTGTGGCAAATTTATATATATCAGTCAATCAGTTTTAATTATTGCGCGCATGAGAATTACAGGACGCTGAACTTTGTATTTACGTTTCATGTATACGACAACGATAAGGTATCCATTAATATAGTTGTGAGTTAGTCTTCTAAAGCGCTAAACCGATTTTAATAATTATTTCTGCATTCGTTTGCGTTATCATTTTTTACAGATCGAAATGGATGACCGTTCTCTGTTTCCTCTTACTATACAAAAACATTATCATTAATATCAAAAGCGTAAATCAAAACAAATCATCCAGCAGTACAATTATTATTCATCGGTAAACCTGAGAACAGATACGTTGATATTATCTTAGGCAACGATTACACAAGCACTGCGTCGGTGGTCCGCTATTGCAGCTCGAGTGTTAACTATTTAGTCTCTTCCAATATCTTTTTCTTTGTGACATGTTGTAAAAAGAATTAATTTTTAATATATTTCCTTGTATTAATTCCCTTATAATAATTTTAATTGGAAATAAGTAGATTTTTTTAGAAGAATGATGTCATATTATCAAACCTGGTCCAAAGGAATTTATACTAAGATCCATTTAGATATTAATAAGATTATGATTTTGATATAAAACAAGAAATCACAGTTACTTATTCCTTGGTTTTGATGATAACATTTTTTTACAGAATTATGCTTAAACCTGTTTTTAAATAAAATGGTCCAATCCTTTGGAAGTTATACGACAGAACGGCTGAATTTATACTTCCCTTTGTATCGGGGGTTCATGAAAGAAAAAAGTAAGATACGTAAATTAAGTAAAACCATGCGATATTGAATCAATTAAAAGTGAATTAAAAGCGATAGAACGATATAAATCTTTATAATAACACCATTACCGACGTTCCAACGGACGTTAATTGTTATACGAGTAATTCAAGCTTCTCACCTCGACAGCGTGAGAACTTCACTTGAATTGTATCTATACCAGTTTTTTTCGCACTATACAGATTAGATATTTAAATATAATACGAGCTTATACAGTAAAAACTTATTTACGGATCGATAGTAGTAGTGGTTACCCCGTTAACGTTTTGAGAATAACATGAAGCAAAAACTTGAACTACCGAGATTACTGATTCTTATCATAACCGCAGAAAGTTCTTTAAACTGTATACGAGTTTGATACACTGTTGTACCTAACTGGGTATCTTCCTCTATACTATTTTTGATCGTATCATAACTTTACCTCATATTTTTTTTCTTAAATCTAGCTCATATTACAAGATCTGTGTTCGAATATGCCAGGTCTCTAAGGAATCTAGGGAGTAAAATTTTTACGAGAAAATGACTTTGATGGAGCTTAACCTTCAAGTGACTTGGGGTTGTAAAACACTATAATAAACAACAACGGAAATATAAACATTTGTTTTTAGAAGTATATTTATGTGTTATGAGTCTTTATTGTGGGGGAAATAGTAAAATAAACGGGATGCGCCCTCTCCCACAGATTTTACCACCTATAATTTTGAGAAATATTTTGTAATAACAAGTAAGGCCTTCTGAAAACAGATACTTGGGCCACGCATCCCTTATACATTCGGATATAAAAACTCACACATATTTTATCCGACACACCATACATTATGTAACCAATAAAATTCACTATGTATCTAATAAATCATCCTATGAACAAGACATAGAATTATAAATATGGAAATAATATCCACGTCTAGACTGGGGTCAGGGTCAAAAGGGTCGATGTGCCTTAATCGAGAACTCATCGATCACAAGAAGATCGTGAACTCCGATCTATGCACAATCGATTCGCAGTTCAAGAACTTGTTACCGGCTACGACAATTTAGCAATATGCTGTCAAGAGCTCTTGAGCTATCTATCGACTTTTCAAGCGACATCCAAAAGTAAACTTTTTGAACAGGATCTCAATTCATTTGAACTTTTTTTGTGGGTATGGTCCATAATTATATCATTATTTATGAAACGATTAACAATTTTATTTGCAACGATTACTCTCATATTTGTATCATATTAATTTTTTTTTGCTTAAAGCTGTTTATATTTCCTATTTACTGAGTTCAACGTTGAATAAATTATAAATGAATTGTTAAAACATTAATTTATTTGTAGACATTATGTATTTCCTACATGGAATGACGGTAAAAGCAGCGGTAAGAAACGCTATATATTTTATAAAATAATTTTACATACAAGTTTAACTTTGTATACGAAAAATTTATTGAATAGATAAAGTATAGTGTAAGTAGATATTAAATAATAATTATTTGTCGATGATCAAAATTAATAAAAATATGAAATTATTATTAATTGAGAACATTACAGAAATAACTAAAACCGTTTTATTTTACTAGTTTAGAATGTAAAATTAGCAAAAAACATTGCGTGAGAAACCTGCCTATTATTGTATGGTATGACTTTTTCAATTATAAGATTTTGTATGAATACGATTTTGTGATAACGATTCAGTTGACCAAAACTTACAAATAGACAATAGTAATAAATAAATTAAAATTCATAAGTAGGTAACAGTCTTGTACAAGTATGATCTCCATATATCTCCACCAGATGTTCGTTCCGGCATAATGCGTTGACTGCTACCCCATTACGCTACTCGTCTACTAGTATCTCATAGTTTAGATTCCATCTAACTGTCGGCTTCGCTGTACGAAGCGCATGGTACTTAAAGATAATAAACTAGTCAGATATTTTCCTTTTAAAACCGTTACTATGAAATGTAATCCTACATTTCGCCTTTCATAATGGATAAATGTAGTTACGGTGTTTACTATATCTGTTGATGGTCAAATTGTGAGAGTAACCATAGGATAAGCATCTAAGTTTAAATTGTTGTTATTTTAAACAGTTATTCGTGGTATAAAATATTCATATTTAGTATTCGTAACTGCGATTGAAATATATGCGTAACATTAAGTTATTGTTAGTGAAATATACAAGAACTATTTGGTTTACAATACCCATAAAGTGTTACTTAATAAAGCAATTGTTTATAAAGAAACAATATTAAAAAGAAACTCTGTAGTTATTTTAATTATCAATAGCATATGGTTTATTTGCTAGTGTATTGAAAAAATCGGACTAATACTCTTAGAGTTAATAGTTGCACGTTAAGAACGTTTATCACGAATCGTTTAGCTTCTTATTTGTTATTTATTTACGCTAAATGGCCAACGTTATTGATGATACGTTTGAATAATTTCGTTAGTTATGTTTACAATGAGAGAATATGCTGAATCATGACAATAGTCTTCTGCATTTCGATGCAAAAACTATCAAAGCGCCGGCTAGGCTTTGTTATAAGTGCCCGAATGATGACGGACGGTGGCAGCCGCGCTCGTGCGTGCCTTTATAACGGTGATCATACACGGGTTGAATGGATTTTTTGTTGCGTCCGTGAGATCGGTTTCGTCTTGGTCCAGCCCTAATTCGACAATAATTGAATCACGACGGATATGGAACGCTAGATAGAGCCTGCAAACAGACACCAATTTAATTTGCGTCGCTCCTTAGTTCGCAGTATCAAATCATACCTACACGCGAGGAAAACCCGTTACGCAATTAATAAGAAACTTATGTTGTGTGTGGTCGGTAATTGCACGTTAGGATTATATTTAATTTAATATAGTTTGCTCCATAGGATTAGTATAACGAAGTATTAATAGACATTCTGTGGTTATATGTGATAGCATAACGGCCTTGCTCGGCCTTGCCATCGGCGAGCGGTGAGCGATTAATACCGGTCAGTGCCCCCAAGGCATTTATTGATATTTAAACATTGCATACAAATGTATTCTCTTGGTTGAATACGATTAATTGAAGCAACGGTAATGCCCAAATACATGAAAAATGCAATTTATTGTCAGACCGTCTATCGTTGAGATATTTTATTTCTTCTTATTCTTTAGAAAATTTTAAGCAGCGTTTAATATTCTTCTATGCTTAAATTTTAATATTAACTATTTAATATTATCTATTTCAACTTTAGTTTATTTATATATTACATAATTCAAATATATAACGCAGGGGCAACATACGTAACTATTGTTTAGTTTTACCGTGTACCTGAAGAATTGTTTGTAGGTATCTATTGTATCAATTGCCTAAATGTACCTGTTTACATTTTTATTTATAAGTATATATAATAAACGTTTTCCAATATATACTTTGAGACTTATAAGGACAGTTTTATTGCATTATAATCAAACACCATATTAAATATTTCTTACAATGACTCTATCTGCATTTAAGTGATATTACTGTTAATACGTGATACCCCTAAATTTAAATTTGAATAATTAAGAAGTTACATCGAATGTAATTTTATTAAGTGTAGTGTCAACGAAATACCTGTGAAGAAATCTAATTGGGTTTAAATTTATTCTGGGCACCAGTAGGATAACGGCACGTATCTTTGTAACAACATGCCTACGGTCGGAACCCTGTTCGATATCCAACAGGACCGTTATCGCCTTTCGCGGACACTTCCGAGCACGCTGCTCCTACACCGCATTTAGTTCTAAACCCTACAATCTATTTATGTTTATATAAGTAGCTTACTCTAGTAGTACAGTGCTGCCTACGCGTCTCTGTCTAAAAACTTGTTCCTCTGTATCTCTTTTCGTTCTTTGGTTTTTGAAATCCTTTATATATTTTATTTTTGATAGTAGTTTCTCTTTGGTACTACTTCACAACATTTCATGAGAATGTTCGTTATAAGATTTATAAGTACTATCGTCGTAGGATTACATTTTATATATTGCTCCTATTCCTACTGGAACTGATATGTATTGTTGATATTCACTTATATCTGATACGATAGATTATAAACCGTTCCTTGGTTTGTTTTTATTTTTATAAACTAACAGAGAATAATGCGAGCGTGGGAATTTGTAGATCGGTTTTATGATCCGTTGAAGCGTTGCAAATATGCCGATTGATGCAACCAAGTCAACGACTTTGCTAACCTCGGTAATATGAGTAAATATTATGTAATAGAGTACTGTTGGTAATGATTAACATAATGAAGGAATATTTTCATGAGTTTGTATTATATTAATTTTATTAAGGTTACCAAACCATATCCTTCGGAAAATTAGGTTTTAGTAAAGTTTACAATGTTTATTTAATACCTACTAGTGTTACTACTAGGTACTTTATTATATTACTATTTCTCTTGACACTTTAATGGTATCTACTTTAAAGTTAGAAATAAATTACGTTATAAAGTTAAGAGTCAAAGGAAAATATGATGTTATAATTTCATTCGTATATTCGCTGGAAAACGTGAAAATAAATTACATTGAGACTAGGCAAGGAAGTATTCTCATAGCAAGTACTTGCCATAGTCTTTATGGCGTGCGAGATTTATTGTGATTTGTGCCAATAAAGGCAGTCGCTCGTTTGTGAGTCACTGATTTATACGACAATAAATATAACGAGACAGTAAAAACTAATTTGCGTTTCGTGCTCCCAGCTTTGGAATTGTAAAACAAACTTGACGAAGTCTCTCCACATAATAGCTTGTGCGTACAGTAATAAATCATTTTATAAACTTAAAATAAATAATGTATCCACATTATCTCCTCATCCATCCAAGGATGTCATTATGATAATGGGATAGACGGTGAACACTATGAAAGTGAGTTATGATTGGCAGTTGAAATCGATGTGGCGTCGTGAAAAATTACCTGTTCTGAAGTAATCATTGTGTCAGCTTGGTTATTTACAGGATTTTTATGCCTAGAACAGGGCCGTAATTGGTGCATTTAGTTTCTATTTTTTCTCAAATTGTAATTTACAATAAATTATAAATAAGAACTAAGTTTATCGGCCCACAGGAATGAAATTTTCAGTTGCGTCTTTCTATGTTTAATCAAATCGTAAGCATTAAAATTAAATTAGTTGGAGCAAAATAATTATTTTTTTTTGTAATTAAATCCAAGTTAATTTTAAAATCTTTAAAATAAAAATAATATATACCAATCATAATAAATTTAGTAATTAAGCGTTTAATTCATTAAATTAATTTCCGAAACCAATGTTTCATCCATTTGTTAATTATTAAAAGTTGAATGGAAAACCAGATTAGAATCCGTAGCTAATGAAATATCTATTACCTAGTTATTTAATTGGCATCTTCGTCGCATAGTATTGAAATTAGCTAATTATAATCTTAACCGACATACTGTAATAATATATACTTCCTTACTTATTAACCACAGTAATGAGTTTCGCTTGAATGATTTCATCAGGTTAATCAAACTGAAAAGTTTTACAAGCTAGTTTGGTATCTACAAGTCTTCATTTTAATTGATATTATAAATGCAGTTTAAATGTGACCAAATTACAACAAGTAGTTTTTTGGTAAACAGGTAGGTCTCTAAATTAACGTCAGGAACATTGTCTTATTATTTTTACGCCTGATTAAAGGCCCATGGTCATCGTTGACATTGTAAATGTTACTTTATTTTGTCATAGTATGGTCCGGATTTAAAACTTAACACGTAAGAAAAATCCTGGACACTAAACCTACAACTGTACAGTTATACATACATATATTCCATATATGTTATGCTTGTTTTCTTTTGCTTTAAAATTATTATGAATAAGTAATATGCTTAAGTATGCCTATGTCTCATTCATATAATATATTAAAGGTAGTTTTTTGACGACGTCAGATGTTTCATGCCAGTATAGAGTCATTGGAGAGTATGACAGTCTTTTGTCCAGCTTTCGGTCAACGGCCCAAATGGCCAGTTTACGTCACCTCGTCGTGAATATGTCGAGACATTGGCACTATGCTAACGAATCGATTAGGAACGGTTCACCGACCGAAAGCGTTCCGGTAACTGATTCCTTTATACGCTACTGGTCTACTGCTAATTTGTCCAGTGAAAATGTATGCATAATTGGATCACCAAAAGACGTTTATTAATTATGATTATTTAAGTAAATTAAAAAATATATATAAATATATTTCAACTTTCGCTTGACCTTTTTCTTGATTACTTTTGCAATAAAGTTGATTATATTAGTCGCTTAGCAGATGAATTTAAAAGGGACAATTGGATAGAAACGGATAGGGTCTTAAGTGAACCTTAAAAAGTAAACAAATATTAATTATTTCTACGAGGTAACAGTTTATTATCAACATGATCTTACTTATAAGGCTTAACATTCTACATTCGTTCTGGATATTAGTGGATCATTTTCTACATAGTGCTCATCAATCGCGTGTGAAAATCTAGGATTGCTAGAAGCGGCGATCTTTGCGCCATGTATGTACTGTAATTGCACTGGTAGCTTGCACTTAAAATCACCGAGACCGACGTTGCAGCAATCTTGTCTCGATTACGATACACGCAGGCCACGCACATGTTTTCTCTTAATCAGTAGTTCGTTTGTAGGTTCTCGGTCCACAACTTACAGATTCGTTCTGCTCTATTACCTATAATTTGGGTTATGTAAGAATGTATCTAAGAAATATAACGTAACGTTCATTTTATTTGTTTTAGAGCCGCCGACAAATGCCAACCCGCCTGGCGAGTTGCCGGTTACTATCGACCATCAGCAGGATGCCGAAACATCAAACAACCTGACGAGAAATGACGCCAACTGTGATAAGACGGGCACTTGCTACGATGGTAATTACATACCCTTATTTTTCGATACGTTATTAACAAGACGTCTACGCAACATACCATTGGTCAGGCGAGCTTTGCTCTGGAAATGATTAAGCAATTACGTGTATAGTAATTGGTAACTTCTTATTTGTACTATAAATTAGCTGTATTATTTTGTATTGGTGAATGCCAACGAATTCCATTCAATGAATTCAGTTGTTTATTATTCCTCGTGGACACGTTACCAAGAAAATTGTTAATCTACAACCTGGTACAACTTTTGAATATTTAACCAAGTTTACAACTTTCCCATTTATAATATTAGTATGATAGGAAACATATAAAGTTAATTATTATTTCTTATATATAATGATGCAAATTCTGACCGCACGCATGACGTGAAACTTCATGGTAGTATATTATCTGTATAAAAAAGTTTAATATAAATGTGATTCTGCACCAGTTCTAACGATAGAAATAATGCAATTGATATTAGACTTGTGACGTGCTTATAGTAGTGCTCATTCTTCATGCGTTACCAATCTTGCGAATTAAGGTGTTATGCCTCAGTCAATATGTGTTACAGTTGGTACTGGATATTTTATTATTTACAGAAAAACAAAAACTCAAGCATTACAATTGTAAATATTCTACGCTATTTTTAAGTTTTTATTCCAGTCAATGTTCAGCTAAACTTTTTTTTTCAAAACATAATGGTTTCTTAAATATTGAATATTCTACTTTAATCGTTTTGAAAAAAAAAGGCATGCATTTTATTAGTTTATTTTTAGAAAGACTTGATATTTCGTAAAAAAAATCATTAGATGAATTGAGAAATATCACAAGTGTCATGTTTCATGTCAATGTTTTGGTTCTCTAGTATCAGTTCACTGCAAGGATACCAGGATTGCGATACAAGTCCGTACAAACAAGCCCTTCAATGGTCGTATCTACGCTTTGGGTCGCTCTGAGACTTGCAACATCGATGTGGTGAATAGCGACCTTTTCCGTCTCGACCTGACCATGTCAGGCCAAGACTGTAACACTCAGAGTATTGTAAGTATTTTATTATTAAAAAAAATCTTTAAGAAATTAATAACAAAACCGGCAAAATTTAACAATATATTTACAACACAACTATAATGTAGATGCAGAAGTTAAAGACAATTCTATCAGAATGATAACGAGTAAAGACAAAGACGGAAATAGTTTTTGGAATGGAACGGAAATTAAAAATATATTTGATAGAATTTGGATAAAATGCGAATCTAAAAATTGGATATCATTTCCGATAGAACTTCTTCAACTGAATGTTATGTATGCTCTGTATTTTTTATTTGCAGACTGGGGTTTATTCTAATACTGTTGTACTTCAACATCACAGCGTGGTTATGACAAAAGCCGATAAGATTTATAAAGTAAAATGTACATATGATATGAGTTCGAAGAACATCACGTTCGGAATGGTGCCAATCAGGTTAGTATGCCGTGATACAATAGTAGCCATGCATGTCAAGTGCAAAAATGTAACATCTATGTATGAGCTTCCTAGTTGGTTTTAACACATAGATTTCTAATAAGATTGGGCTACGTGATGTGGTAAAGTAATAGACTGAACGCTATTTACCACATACCGTCATGAAATTACTCGAAAGAAGACTCCAAATCACTCTCGCATTGTAAACACGTTACAAATTAAATTCAAATACGCGACAACGGCGCGAAGACGTGATAGGCAATATAATTACAATTAGAGTACTTTTTATGCATTTTTAACGAACTGAGTTGAAGACCGATGACTATCATGATTGCTGCTTATGAAGCTGATGTGACTACTTGATATGTAACTATAATGACTATTCTTACTACGTAAAACAGATTACTTTGTATTGTAATAATATGTGAAAGATCAAGCGACGAGTGTTACATAATGTTGGAGTTATTGTACTCGATTCGTTTTGAGAATAAAGTCGTAATTTATGGATTATAATAATATATTCAGATAACATCACTGCCATAAAAATATTTTTACTTTTCAATATCATTTTATACATATTTCAAGAGCGCCGTGACACTATTATAAATATGCAAGGTGAAATTTTCAGTCTATTCAAGTAATGTAAGAGAACTGGTACTAGAAGATAAATATATAAATCTATGTTAATTAATAGCGGCAAGACATAAATCGTAAACTTGACTTATCTTGATCAGGCTACTGGAACAATTTCCGACACGTCTATAAACTGCGTGCTAAGGACAACTTGTTAGTGAGATTCTGTAATAAGTATCTATAAATACATTCGTATAATTGCAGAGATCCGGAGATGATTTCCATTACTGCCTCACCGGAGGCTCCACCTCCACGTATTCGTATTTTGGACGCTCGTCAACGCGAAGTGGAAACTGTGCGTATCGGAGACCGCCTTACATTCCGCATTGAGATTCCTGATGACAGTGAGTACTCGTTTGATATATTTTATTAGATTTTTTAATATGCAGTTCTAAACTAAATTAATTTTTGATAATTTAGCTCCATATGGCATCTTCGCGCGCAGCTGTGTTGCTATGGCAAAGGATTCTAAGAGTACATTCCAGATCATCGACGATGACGGGTGAGTTATTTTTATAAGAAGTTAGTGATGGAGTTAGTCATTTTACAAACGAGTTATTCAATAATTACAGCCCTGAAACTAATGTATATGTAAGATGAGATGTTAGTTACGTTGTTACTCGATTTTCTCTGCCTATTCTTATTTAATGTACTGGCGCGAAAATTAACATATATTATTAATTTTATATTAATAAAAAAAAAAATGTTAACCGTCAGGCTTTTAACTCTTACCATATCAGTTATTTTCTTTAAAAATTAATATTTATGCTTTATTAATATATGAATACCTAATGTTATTGATAAAACCACTCCTATGTATGTTTCTATATCTGTACAGATGTCCTGTTGATCCATCGATATTTCCGGCCTTCTCTCCTGATGGCAACGCATTGCAATCCGTGTATGAAGCATTCAGATTCACCGAGTCATACGGTGTCATCTTCCAGTGCAACGTCAAGTATTGTTTGGGCCATTGTGAACCGGTTAGTAATATTTAGTATTTGTCCGCTATATTGGAATTTTAGCAGTACTTCTAGCATTTCGAGTGGTGACGGAGTATAAGAAACATTACAATCCTTTTTATTCCTTTTAGTGTCTTAAGTTCCTTTTTTAATAGGATGAAAATGAATGGTAACCTTACTCCTGCGGTATTGGTAGACGCTAGCGAGGGTTGTCAGTGAGTGATGATAGACAAGGATGAAGTCAGATGAGTTATCCCATTGTAGTGAATTTGTAGGAATTAATTACGGAGACTCGTATAGCGGCCGACCTGACAAGGTCCATTGCTAGCAATGGAGACTAGTGGCTCATTACAAAAATTCCCTTAACAAAACTTGGCACAATACACCAGTGGCAGAGAATAAAAACCCAATAGGAAAACCAGAATCTAATAATGTGCTTATTTAAGGAAGAAACTTAAACTTAGCAGTCAGATGTTAATGATTTACAGTATACTAAATTATTTACTGTGTTTTCGCCCATAAGAATTGGCCAATGTTAGCCCAATTAATTGTAATTACTAAATGAGAATTTATTTGTTCAGGCTGTGTGCGACTGGGGCAGAGAATCCCTGGAGTCTTGGGGCAGAAGGAAGCGTTCGTTGTCACAAAAGGAAATCGGTGAAGCCCAATCTCAGGAGGAGGATATGAATATATCACAAGAGATCTTGGTACTAGATTTCGGTGACGATCGTCAGAGTACAGACTTCCTCAGATCCGACAAACCTGGTGGTACCGCGTCGGAAGCAAACTTTGGGGGTAAGTAAATATTTTTCCTAAATTTTCGATCAAATAGTTTAGTACCATTAGACTAATATCTTCTTCTCAAGGGAAGTGGCTCTTGTCTAATATTGCTGTATAAACGGATTATTATAACGAAGATAAAATATGAATTACAAATTCTTCATAAACGAATTCGGTATTCTTTTTTTTTCCTGTAGCAACTATCGCAACGGCTAGATTCGTATCAATCACTTTATTTTTATAACACTTACGTGGCAAACAAGCATACGTTCTACTTGATGGTAAGTGGTTACGGTAGACATGAACTTTTGCAATACCAGAGGCATTACGCACGGGACTGAAGAAACTTCTTTATCTCTATTTTAAAGATCCCCATACTATAGTCTGTTGAAAAAACCTCGACAAATAACCATAACCTAAGCGTTCGTGGTAGGAAATATCTCTATAACCGCGCTGTACGTGACCATCCAGGCTCTAAGGTATGGGGGTAACTCGTTGTTGATGGCGAGTTGTACATATTACAGTTTATATTACAGTTGCAATTAATACTAGCTACATCATACATATGAGTACTTTCCACTTCAAGACTAGTAAGGGTCATGGGGTTGTTCATGTTTATAAGATAGGGTAGGTTTACAATTTCCCATAATAAATAAATATACCTAACACTTGTTTATGCAAATAAACGAATGATTGATGAGGATTTCAGTAGACTCTATACTGTTTTTGAATTTGTCAGGTTTTTGTAATAATATAATATTTATATGTTAAACTGATATATTTTCTTTTAATCTTTCAGAGAAAACAGTGACGATAGTGGAACCGTGTCCCAGCAAGTCATCTGTTCTTCTGCTGGGAGTGGCGTGTGCGCTGCTCGTTCTTTTATATATAGCAACTATATTCTGTTATTACATGCGCAAATGGCTTACCCCACCCAAGCACATGTCGTAATTATGCTTTTCCATCGTGCGTCAAACTTAGAGGCTATATCGACAAGTTGGTCTCGACATATAGTTGTTCCATGCTTGTTTTGTATTGAGGAACTTGTGATACAAATGACTGATAACAAAAACCCATGTCAAACTATTTAACATGTCATAAATCCGTCCATAGTTATTTATTTAAGTTCCGTGATTCACATTGTAATTTATAAAAAGTAATCTCGTGGTGAATTTGTTTTGGGAAATGATTTCGTGACAATATTGATATTATTGTAACCACCGCGTGTTTTGCATTGCATATGCATTTATTTTAGTGTTAATTTATTGCATTTAAAAGCATTTACTAATATTAAGTAGATATAATGCGATTAGTGGAATGGCGAATTTTATTGACAAATTGATTTATTTGTCCATTGCCTTAGCCAATATTAGTAACAAACAGGTAGGTTATTTATTTTCCCTTAATACTGCAGTTGAGGGAAAATACATATAATTAAGGAAATGCATTTACTAGAATTAAGTATCGGACCAATTTTTGTACAATTATTGAGTAGGTACTCATATAGTACACAGCAAAATATTGTTTGGAATAGTCCCTGAAAACTGATGAAACAGCATTTCATTCCTGTGATGGAACTGTATGGTTTAAGGGGAATATTCTGATATTATTGGTTAGAAATATTACTAGATAAATTATTAACATAAATAATTCATTTATCTAAACATATTGTAATTTTTAGGACTACTTTTTCAGCTATTATTATTTTCATTATTCCATATTTCTTGTGAAAAATTATAGACTATACTATTTTTGTAAATATATTGCCTTTCCACTTTCATGTTAACAATTCTAAATGTCTTTGAGAACTTTCAGTTGGGTTTTGTAGAAATATATATAGGACTAATGTATTAATTGTACCTCGTACATATTACAGTCATAAATATAATAGTTTCTCTTAACCCAACTTGAGATTTCTATTTTATTTATTTAATTTAATTAATTTACTTATTTATTACTTTTACATTTTAAATTAACAAATGAAATAAACTTGTACAAATTTATATTTCTTTTTATTTCAACAACAAAATAAATTGTGATAAATTAATAAATAACTTGTTCTTCACTAACTTTAAAGCTGATCATTCCCTAAATTTGAAATACAAACATCATACAACAGTTTGTGTTAACAAATTATTATACACAGAATTTAATATGTCCTCTTGAGCATTTATTTCTAGTTCCTCACATTTACAGCCAAAAACTTTGTCAAAGTGCTTTAAAAATATTGGTGTGATTTTCTCTATGCAACAATTAACTCCAGTCTCTTCGGATAGTGAGGTAACACCTTTATCTATTATCCCACAAGGATCTATGTGATTGAACCATGATAGGTCGTTATCACAATTTAAAGAAATACCATGAGTGGTGACATACCGTGATGCATGTATACCAATAGCTGCTACTTTATTATCATCAACCCATACTCCAGTATGTGGCGATCGGTTTGCTCTAATACCTGTATAAGAAATATGAGAATTTAATTTTTTTAGTAACAAAAAAATAGACAACATATTGTAAATTATTCAAAAATGTGTTATGGTATTTTTAGTATACACATGAAGGTGCAAAATTAGGTATTATTTCTATACCTAATTTTGCAGACTGTAAATGGATTAATAAAAGGATGAAATATTTAAAAAACAGAACTTGAATCTATACATATGAAGGATATGTGCAATGGTACCACAATATGCTCTGTGATATCTTAGATGTCGTTCATGTATAGGTGGCTCCAAGAGTTAGTATTTGTTATCAATTTATTTGTCACTCAAATCCTTAGTAATAAATGTGAAAAAGAGTTTGTTACCTCACTGTAATTTAAAGGCTTAACCAATTATCACGAAATTTAGTATTCACATTCAATTTAGAATGGAGAAAGACATAGGTTCCATTTATCTTAGTCACACACATATAATTATAGGTAAAAGCTAGAATATAATTACACAAACATCCTACAAGTATAGGCCATTCTAAAATTAATAACTGAATTATACAAGATTTCCATAGGGTCTGTTGATTTGTAACCAAATGGGTAAAAGATTAAAAAAAAAAATTAACACCTCTCACAAATTGGTGGCACAAGGTAGACTTTTCTATCTACCTTGTAAGTGAAAAAAACCAGTTGTAGATTGTAATGAGCAGATATTACTTACCTAATTCATCACATAATTGAATTACAGTTTCTTCCAAGCTGTGGACATACCATTTGACACTAGTTTTAAAATGTTTCAAGTTTATAACAGGGTATGCCACAAGTTGTCCTGGTCCGTGGAAGGTAATAAGGCCACCTCTATTTGTTTTTTTAAATTCTGCACCAAGCTCTTTAAGCTTTAAGATATCAGATTTTGAAGTGTTATCTCTAATACCTATGAAGAAAAAAAAATTTGAATGTTATAGTAATCTTATAAAAAACATTTATAAAATACAAGGCCCATATGAATTGAAACAAAACTATTCTGTGTTAATCCATGTAAAAAATGTTTATATACTATATTTGATGTAACCTTATCCAATCCTTTAATTGTAATCAAGTAAAAAGTTCTTACTTTGCAAGAGTCAAGTAAATAATGATAGAAGCATTGTTCATAAATACAGTCTCCCAAGTATCATCTCTGATGATTAAGGTGTTCCAGTAAATGTTATTTAGTATCTCTGGATCACGAGATACTGATAATATATTTAATACTCATGATTTGGCTCAGTTTAGCAAGGGATCTACCCTTGCAATTTTCGAAAATAATACATAGCTTACGTTACTCATAATGTAGCTTTCTATAGGTGAAAGAATTTTTTAAAATTAGTTAATTACTTTTTATTAAAACTAAAAAATAAATTATTTATTAAAACAAAGATTCAACTCTTCCTTTTTTATAATGTAAATATATATATAATATTTCTGAGTACAATAATATCAGTGCAATAGAAAAAAAAAATACGAAATAAAACTTAGCACAAGCTTGTCGCGTCATTATTTTTTTAGGAGAAACTTGTGTTCAGTATTAGGATATAAATGTGGGTTGTTATGATGAAGTTAATGAAACAGTGTAAGCTCAACATAACCTAATTTTTTTTTTAAATTACTACTTACCAACCGTATAAACTGGTTTATGTTCTACGAGAAGAAGAGTATCGTAATTAGCCTCTATTCCTTTAATCATTGCATCTAAGTGTTTTCGAGCGATAGCCAATTGAATTTTTAAGGCGGTGTCGTAACTCATAAGTCCCAATTTCCAAACTTTAACCATCATAAAATAAAATGTAGATGTTTTTAGTATAAGAATATTTCTAACTGTTTTGGGTGATATGATATTTAATTCTTATAATTTTGTAATTTTTAATTTTCAGTTGTAATGAATAAAAAACAAAACAAAAAGTTTTATTGAATAACATATGACAATGACGTTGACATTTGACAATTTCACTTTGATAATTGCCAGACAGACACTATAAAATTTACAAAATCATTTTAAAAAATATCATATAATTTTGCAAAATAAGAGTTTAGAAATGCGTATTACTTCTGTAAGGACATATTACGAAATAATAATATTAGGAAATTGAAGTGAACAGTGAAAATATTTATGACGACAATAATATTTTATGTGTAATACCAGGGTATAGATGTCGTTATAGTCGTTAGCTTGTTAAATTTTTTAGTTTTACTACTCCGTACTAGATGGCACTATATTGATACAGTAACATATGTGTACTCGGATAGCGGTATTTATACTTGTAACAATCCAGTTTATACTATAATATCTTTCAGGCAGTTCAGTTTTCGGTGTTCCCTGGCCGTAGGGCGGTGTTTCGTACGTTACGTAAACTATCTGTCAATATAAACATTGTATTTCTAAGCCTGGGATTAGCATAGATTCAATGTTTTATTCAACCTTCTGAGAGAATTTATGTTTGAGTTTGATGCTATGATTAAGTGTATCTAAGTAAAATAATATTTGTGTCATAAATCTGTTGAAGTAAGATGTTGATCCAAGTTAAGTTCGGATGAAATATAACTCTTATGACTTCGGTGGCGCAGATATTATATGTCTTGTTTGGACAAGGTGCTTGTGAGATCAGAGATGTGGTGCTCGCTCAAACGATGACAGCAGGGGTAAATCTTAATAAAATACTACTTATAATAATTTATTATTTTGTTTATAATTAAATACTTTTATTCATTTATGTAGTATAGAAAAACAGTACAAAAGGTGAGCTTAACTCTGTGAGAATATTTTCGGCAGTTTTGTGGTATGTTTGTCGTAAGTGATTATTACAATTAATATATCTGCATATTATACGGCGAGTATGACAGGCCACTAAAATATTACAAAAGCATTATTATAACTTAACTACGGTTAACATTGTCTCCAAAGAATTTCAAAAAGCTCTTATACGGTAAAACTGCCAATATGTCAGCTGTTACAATTATACGCGTATTTAGAAGAGGGGCTGGGTGGCCCGTGCCCATCTTAAAATCGTCTGGTGCCCACCCCAGGACACAAGCAAATCTTCACAAAGAAATGAATACACATATGCGCCAGTTTTAACGCTCAAGGGGTCAACTTCTTCCCCTGGATAAATAATCTTAAATACGCCAATGCTCATAATGCGTAATATATAGATGGTTGAACTTTTCTAACAATAAAATATTACCTCTAAAACAACATTGACAAAATATGTCTGTAAATAAATTTAAGAGCTTGGGCATACAACTAAAGTAATTTGTCGGGGTTAATGTATTGGATAGCATAAAAGGAGTGAACCCTCAATAAATATAGTAACGGTCGTTGGGATATCGTTGGTATGGTCTACATTTATAACAATTAGATATATCGAATTTAAAAATGAATGAACAAATTTCAACGTTATCTGAAAAGTTTAATTATAAACAAATTGTAGATAAGTCTGCTATTTGAAATTTTACTATTAATTTAAACTTTTGACCTTAGTAGCGTAGTGGTTTAACACATTTGCTCACTTTCTAATGGTTGTAGGTTCAAGCCTTGAATAATACTATTATTTCTGAGTATTTTTGTTAGTTTATATTGGTCCGCATATGCTCTGGGTGGCGTTTATTTATATTAAAAGTTCTAAAATACTTTGAATAATAATATCAATATATTATTTTTACGCACTAATACAATTAAATTTTTTTAAAAGTGTTATGAATTTTATTCGAAGTAAAATATTAATCATGTATTAACATTTAACTTTACTAAGGAGGTTTGCCTATACATCTAAGTTTTAGTCACGTTACCACATTATGTAAATTAATTCACTGATCCATTGATTAACGATAAGTTACTTACATGAGTATTTACATTTGTAAAATTGTTAATAAGTACGTTAATTTACTTTCGTAAGTAAAATTTTCAAGTATAAAGGAGTTCTAAGAGTATTTATTAAACAATTTAGATGTTTTTGAAAATGGACCGTTAAGAAAAAAGATCGTTATTAACATTTTGCTTTTTATTTTAACTTGAATTAAAAGCATATAGATTGGCTTTGAGGTTAATGTACTGATCTAGTATTTCACCACTAGTAGTGTTAAACAGCTGGTAAGGTAAACAAGTCTTACAATAAAGCAGGAAGGACGGTGCTTCCTGTCGTTATTTATAGATGGTCAGTCTTAACAAGGGTGTTGGGACATCGACAGGGGTGCGCGTGCGCAACTATTGCGAGTGTCGCTGACTTTTATCTATTACCTGTAATAATCTTTAATTAATTTATTTTTTCTATAATAGATGAAAAATAAAACATTTATGTTCATAATTTAATCTGACAATAATCTTAATGTTAACAATTTACATTATGTATAGTAGACAGCTCGTTTTCAATCAATAGAATTTGTATATGTCTTCAATTCCAGAGCATATGCACATGAAAAACATAAAACCGCAGTATTGTTTTTTTATTTCTATCTGAGGGGTAAAAAAAGGCTTTCTGAGTGTTCTGTGTGCACACAAAAATTTGAGTACTGTTGGTGTATATTACTTACATTACGTTGTACATGTTGTAGTTAAAATTTATACCTTAGGTAAATATTAAGAACTAAAATGGTATGATGGGAAGTTTGTGAAATTCCAAATAATATCCTATTGTAATATAATAAAATTGTAACTAGACCATGTTTAACGATAGTTAAGAAAAAAATATATGAGAGGTCTTAATAGGACCATCACATCATTCCGGATTTATGCCCAATTTTTTTATCGTCGAATAAATCCCTGTAGACCTACGCAGCGCACCTAGTTAGCCTATTTCTAAAAGAAGGCTATTTAATTATCTGTTGACTCAACAAGACCAGCCTTAGCTACACATTAATAAATAGTCATTATATCTCATAATGCTTATCATTATTTGAATATATATTTATTCGTGTTTCAACCGTGAAGCAGTTGTGTTTGCATAGCTGTGTTTCAGTTTGAAGGGTGGGATATGGCGTGAATTTACTGGATACAGAGGAATAACACCTGAGTCCTTAGGAATGACAACGCATGGGGGGTATCATGGGCGAAACAGTATACTCTGTTACATATGTCCATGGTATTGCTCATGTCTATAGGCGACGGTTACTACTTTCCATAAGGTGGGCCGTCAGCTTGATTGCCATTCTAAGTTGTATAAAAAAAAATAATTAAATGTCACATATTTTTCACCATCTTTGCCCTTCATACACTTTCTGGTTTTTACCTAATATTTAGCTGGTAGCGAATGCTATATGGCATTAAGCTCGCCACTTGTATAAAGTTTTATTGTATGTTAAAAAAAAATAGGAGCAATAGCATCCAAAACAATGAGTTTTAGAAATTTTGTTCGTTTATTGGAACATATGTTTGTACTGGCATCACACAAAAATTATTCTACCACATCGATGCGGTGTTCCTAACCTGTGCATCAGAAACTAGAAAGTGCAATTTAAAATCTAGTATATGTTTTTTTAATTAGTATAGTTTAGTATATTTTTTAATCCTGAAATCCATGTGTACGAAACAGCGGATGAAAAGCTACGTATAAATGTAAAGATGTTTGGATAAATGAATTTGAATTTGAAATTTTGTATACAGGCCCAGATAATATAATACTATACTGATACGGGTAAGTTATTGGCATAGGTAGCTTCATACCTTAATCCATAGAACAATTTAGTGGCAACTTACAAAACCACGGGTACAGTTATAAATAAAGTTTTATTGGTATAGTATTTTGTATGGTTGCTGCTTAGTCAGAGTGATTGTGGGCTTATTAACCTGCAATCAAATATATAAAAGCCTATTGGCTTTCATATACAATGGTCGAGGGATGGGCAACAGCGTCCCTCTTAAAATATCATCCAAATCTAATTGTGGTTGCCAAACCGACTGTCAAGCGTGGCAAGGACTGGCAAAACTCCCCTTATTGGGAATGCATATATTTAGGTAGTTGACAATTAACCATGATATAATAATAAAATAGTAAATGTTTTCATATAATCCTCTTCATATGAGGAGAGACTCGTGCCATTCCACTACTGTGGAATATTAACGAGCTATTACATGGTAAGGTATATACATCGAATGTTTGATCACAAATAAAAAATATTTTACATATTTACCTACTTATAACGAAAGGAAATTACCCTTCTAAATCTTGCTAAGTTTTGTACTGACTTAAGTAAAAACTACTTAGAAAATATATGCAGGGTTTTGTTTGTTCTATTTGGTAGAGATCCCTAAAAAGTTTCAATAAACTCTTGTTACATTTTATAAAATGTAGGCTAGATGAAGCGCTACCGGAGTCATTATGAATTTATTTTATAACAAGTAAATTGAGTTTGCATTCTTCCGCGAGTTGAACAATCCGTGCATAGGTTTTTTCAGTAAAATAAATGACAATCTACTATGCATATATACATATATATAATAATTGGATCCTCAACATGATTTAAAGGGTTTCTTATCCAGCCAAATTGTCAAAATATAATCCGTATAATTTATTCATATTTATCTTTATAGCGATGCCAGTAGAAATGTTATTACACATACTTATTAAACGTTTTAAAGGGGTTTGTTTCCTGAAACCATGTAAATAACAAAATGCGATTATTTTGACGGCTTCAGGCCGGGTCCGGGCTGTGTTGCCATGGTAACGGCGCAGTGGGCCTGCAGCTCCGTGACGCGAATGTCAAGCCACGGATCGATGAGGCTCGCACCTTTTTTTCATATCTCCAGGAGCCTTTGATCTCCTGGTTTTAACGTTCAAATCTTACATACTTTCCATTTACAAAACGTGGATTAAGTTGAGCAAATGTTGGTTAGCTTTTGACAATGACACCATGATATACAATATAGCTTTTATAGACTCTCATGTTTCCTTTAATCTTATAAACAGGTCAATTCGACTCTACTATTATATAATTTGTAATAC